AAATTTTTAGCTTTTTATTTTATTAATTAATTTATTAATTATATAAAAGATTTATTAAATAATTATAATGATATTATTTGAAAATATTTAAATAAAAAACTAGAATAACCAATACAACAAATAAATAATAAAAAAGATAAAAACCAAGCATACAATTGATATGGATATTTTCATCTCTGCACATAAATCTTAAGGGTAAAAAAGAAAAAAAAGAAAGAGCATGGGTAATAAAGGAAAGAATGTTGCTATGAGAGTGAAATGTTTTCACTGAACCCTGAAGCTCCAATTAGTTTTTAAACCTCCAATGCATTTGAAAAGCATGAAATGCATTGAATTGTGCTTTTCAAACGCTTTATCAATCTAGTGAAATGCTTTAATGGATCTCAAAAGAGCTTCAGTTGAATCCAAATGAATGCTTAGTCAGGTCAGCCAGTCAGCTGATGTTAAGCAGCCCTAAACTAAGCCGAAAAAGAAAAACCTAACCCCAGTCTGGTGTACTAGGCATTGGTCACATGGTCAAGTTTCCAGAGTTTACAAGGATTTTTTTTTTCATCAATCAAAACTAGCAAATGCAAATTTATGAGTCCAAACCAATGTATGATATTAGCTCTCTATTTATAAACCTCTTAACTATACATGAGTTAATAAGTAGCTATAGTTTATTTTGACAGTTTTCATGAATAATGACAATCTTTTATTTTTGTTACTGTAGATACTATAGCAGATTGATGTTTGTTTACTTGCTTTCTCGGACTTTGAACCAAGCTGTCTTGACTTGCCAGTGCTATTGGTGTAAGTTTATTTTGGTTTGGAATAGCTTATCCTTTTTGAATATTATCTAGATTAATTAACTTTTCATCTTTAGGATTAAAAGACTGAGTAGAAACTGTTCTAGATTTATTCTACATTTGTCATCCTTTTGATATTGAAACAGAAGATGCTAAAGATGATCCATGTCTTTCATTTCTAATATTTTTTGTAATAGTGCTAGTACTTCAGGTTTTACTACCATTTCAAAGTCATTGGCAGCAGCATAGAATCTTTTGACAAAAATTCTTTGTCCATCTGTTTGGGTAGAAATTCTGAGATACGATGAATGAATAGTTTGAGTCAAAGAATTTTGGCATAATTAATCATGGATATTCTTGTTTGTAAGTGATATCTTGATGAATTTGAGTATTTCTGTATTACTTGGTTTAGTAGTTCAAAATTTTCAATTCCATCCATTGCTAGTTCCAAGGGAGGACCAGACATAAGTTTCTCAACTTCCCATATCTGGTAAGGTTGGAAGAATTTTTCTTAGTATGTTCCAAGGAGATTATGGTATGTTCCAAAGAGATTATGGATAGAAAAATGAATATAACAAAACAGTTTTTGATTTATTCCACATCTGCGATCCTTTTTTATATTGAAACAGAAGATGTTGAGGACGATCAATGTCTTTCATTTTTTTTTTTGTAGTAGTGCCACTGCTTCAGGTTCTACTACCATTTCAAAATCATTGACGACAACATAGAATCTTTCAACAAAAATTCTTCGTCCATCTATTTGGGCAGAAATTTTGAGATATGATGAACGACTAACTTGAGTCAAAAGAACTTTGGCATAATTCATCATGGATATTCCTATTTGGAAGTGATATCTTGATGAATTTAAGTATTTTCTAAATTACTTGGTTTAGTAGTTCAGAAATTTTCAATTCCATCCATTATTAGTTCCAAGGGAGGACCAGACATAAATTTCTCAACTTCCCAAATCTAGTAAGGTTAGAAGAATTTTTTATTTCTTGAATAGAATATGGTTTTCTTCAAAGAAATCTACGTCTTTCTATTTTAACAGATATGAAGAACAAATATTTTTGAAAACCAATTCATCAAAAAGCTACTTTTTTTTTAGCTGGTTTAACTAAGAATTCAACTAATTTAGTCATCTTTTTTCTAAAATTCTATTTGTTTTGAGAGAGATGGGATTTTCAAATATTGTTGAACATATTGTATATGTCAACAGGAAGACTAGGATTGTAGAAAGTTTTTATTTCTACATTTGTCATTTTTGTATCTTTCAACAATTTTTTTATTGATTGTACAATTTTTGAATAAGAAATAAGGGTCTATTAGTTTGGATCCTAAGAAAATGGTGAAAGATTTTAAGGATTTGTAGTACTGGTTGTATTACAGGTTTTTGTGGGAAGATAAAATAGGGCATTTAAGGAATCTAATGCGGTAAATATCCTCTTTGAGGGTTAATAAAAGGTGTATATCCCTGGTTAAGATATGATTTAGTATTTGTAGAGGAAAAGAAAGAAGAGGAAACTTTTTTAGTTTGCCTTTTTTGTATTGTTCTCTATCCTTCTTGCTGCTGTAGAGGTTTTTTAACTCTATCCCTCTGGCCTGCTAAGATAATCTACAAGAAAATTTTTATCACCATTAATAAATTCTAAAAATATATTGACATAAAAAATTATACCACCTAATCCATCTTGGATTAGTTTCTATTTTTCTATTTTTAAGAAATCTCGAACATATTGGTTATCAGTTCTGATTGTAAAATGTTCAAGTGCAAGATAAATATGAAATTTAAAATTAGTATTTTTAATGGCTAATAATTCTTTTTCAAATATAATATATTTGATTTCGTTCTGTTTGAACTTGTTAGAATTATAACCATAAATAAGTTTATTGTTTTGAACTTTTGCTTTTAAAACACATCCCTAGTGTTCATTTAAAGCATCTGTTTCCAAGATTAGATAATCACCTTGTTTAGGTAAATATACTTTTGAAATAGTAGCAAGTTCTAATTTTATTTGTTTGATAATACCAGAATCTTGGTCTATCCAAGAAAATTCAATATCTTTTATCAATTTTTCTTGTAGAATTTTCTCCTTTTTAGAGAAATTTTTGAAGAATTGTTTTCCATAGTTAAAAGGACTAAGGAATTGTTGCAAATGTTTTATATTTTCTAGTTATTCTGGAAAATCTTTAATTTTTGAAATAATATGATCTTGAAGAGTAAAACCATATGATGAGAGATTTAATCCTAAAAATCCTATTTTAATTTTTTCTAACTCAATCTTTTTTGAACTGAGTATAATACCATGTTTGACAAACTCTTAAACAATAATATTAAGATGTTTTTTATGCTCAATTAGATTTTCAGAAAAAAACTAAAATATCATCAATATATACACAATAAAATTTTTTATGTTTTGCAAAAATTTTGTCCATTCACCTCGAAAGATTTGAAAGGCATTACATAATTTGAATGACATAATAGTCCATTGGTAATGGCTTGTTGGTGCACAAAAAGTAGTCAATGATTTTGACTCTTTGGTAAGCATTATTTGCCAAAAACTAAAATTACAGTTAAATTTACTAAAATATTTAGCATTTTTTGCTAAATTGATTAAAACATCTTTTTTAGGATAAAATATCCATCAAAAACAAAATTTTGGTTAAGCTTTTTATAGTTGATTATCATAGGGCTTGACCACGTTTTTGTTTAGAATGTTTTCTGACAAGAAATGCAATACTAAAATGAGGGCTATCTGTTTGTTCAATTAAACCTTTCTTGAAAAGTTTTAAAATTTGAATTTCAAACTTATCTATATCCTGTTTGATATAAATCATAGGTTTAACTCTAATAATTTTAGCTAAGTCATTAATTTTTAGTTCAAAAAAACGAGAACGTTTTTCTCAAAATTTCAGTTGATTTTCACTGAAATTATCTTGGAAAATTTTATATAACTAACATTTTCATTTATTTGTTTTATCTTGGTCTGGTTGGCTTCAAGACAAAATTCTTTATTATCAACTCAATACCTCACTTGTTGTCAAGTTGGTATGAATGTTAGTAATACTTATCTTTGAGTTAATATCATAAATAAACTCTAATTATTGTATTTTTTAATGTGATATCTAAATTAAAAAATTTTAAATAGTTACTTAAATTTCATTTTTATTTATTAAGTTATTCCAATTTTAAAAATCATTAAAATAAGTGTTAATGTGGCAATCAACATTGATGTGAATTACATGTGATTACTATATGAGAATAATGCGGATACCACATGTCATATTTTAAAAAATAAAAATACAAAACTTTTTAAATAAAATAATTTAAAAATAATAAAAAAAAACTTTTTATCTTTTAGTTTTTTTTTTTTTTTAATATTACAAGATACAATCACATCCCTATCACGTAATAATCATGTCTCATCCACATCACTGTTAACTACATTAATGTTTATTCTAACGATCTTAGGGATTAAAATAATTTAATAAAATTAGATACCAATTTAACATTGTTTTTATTAAGTAGCACATTAAAAAAAAAAGGTGTAATAGCTCACAGCTATTTAGGGTATCTTCTCTAATTCTTTTATGTCTATTCCATCTTTGTTAGTCTCATACATGAAATCCATACCACATATGCATAATTGATGAATCATAAATTAAACATCACCACATCAAGCCTTTCTTTTCCTCTGAAGTGTTTTTTTTTTTTCTTCTTTTTGAAGACAGCGAAAGGATGAACTTTATTCATGATGAAGAAAAGCTGAACAAATTTGTCTCAAAATAGTCAAAACAAAAAATGGCATAAAATATAAACTCTATACACTGTTAAGTGTATAGATCAAATATAAACTAAATTAAATGACACATTAGTATACCAGGACCATCTCGAATCAACATGAAAGCCCAAAAGTGGCCTTTGACAAAGTAAAACCAAATTAAATAAAAACAGACTTGGCATGTTTTTTCTTCTAGAAAAGAAGTGTGCAAAAGATGAGCCTTGTAAGCTATCAGCAGTTCCTCCACATTACCTGGAAACCTTGACATGAACTCCAAGAATTCATTCTCTGTATATTCCAAGATGTAAAGAAAACTCCAATACATTTTCAACAACTCCTTCTAACTAGTAATCTGCAAAACTCAATCTTGAGGAATCAAATGATCTCCCAAACTGCTCATCAAAAGAATTGGCCTAGAAACAGACTTTTATCATGTGTTTTCTTCTTCTGAAGAAGAAGAAGTGTGCAAAAGATGAGCTTTGTAAGCCATCAACAGTTCTTCCACATCATCTGGAAACCTTGATATGAACTCCAAGAATTCATTCTCTGTATATTCCAAGATGTAAAGAAAACTCCGATCCGTTTTCAACAACTTCTTGGACTTAACAATCTGCAAAACTCGGTATCTAGGAATCACACGATCTTTCAAACTACTCATCAAAAGAATTGGCCTAGAAGCCAAAACATTCTTATCAAACTTTGCCACATTAAGAAAGAACTCAATTCCTAACTTCATTTTCTTCTCAGAGACCCTAAAAACACCTGGGTTCTTCCTAAACATAACCAGGCAATGACTGTCTGAAAAACCAAAAGTCTTAAGTAATTCACATTTCTTCTTAAATGTTTGTTCACTCAAGCAACTCAAGGTATGAATAGCATGCACTAACATCCTCGAATCAGTCGAAATCCCCATATCTACAACCCTCGTAACGAGATCCCTTAATGCCGATTCTCGCATCCTAAAAATCCTAGGTTGTCTCGTTAACAACTTTGAGAGCTGAGACCCAACAATCCCACAGCTTTCCAAATACTCAATGTTTCTCGACAACTTTGATATGCCATCTCTAGCAATAAAACCATTGCATCTACTGAAGACCTTAAACAAGTCTTCATTATTATTCCCTAAAATTTTCTTGACAAATTGGATAGAAGGAATCAACTTTTTATCTAAACTACAAGTTAAAAGCGTAGAATTCCTAGAAAAGAACTTACCCAGATGGGGTTCCACAAGACCCAGATCTTGAAAAAGTTTGATTGTTGGCCTAAGCTTCTTTTCTACATCAGCAAACAGAATTTGGGGCTCCAAACGGACAGCAAAGGCTATTTCGGCATTGGAAAAGCCAAGACTTTGAAAAAAATTGGCAACCGATCGAGCCTTTTGGACGGATTTGACATGAGAGTAACGGTTAGAGATTGAAACAGCTTGGGTTTCAGTGAAATCCAAGTTTTTTACAAGATAATTGAAAAGGGGCGGATTCGAAACAGAGGTGGAAGAAGAATATGAGAGAATAAAAATAAATGATTTGGGTTTTAACGAAAAATTGAGAAAATGGAAGATGCTTTGAGGGTTTGCATTAAGGTTTTTGAGGAATTCTGTGCAGCGGGTTTTAGGGTTTAAAATTCAATCTTCATAATGCAGAATTGCAAATTCAATTCTAAATACACTCTCGATCAAGTAACGACGACGTTTAGGGTAGAAGGATAAAATAAGCAGCGACGCCGTTGCTGGAAAAACAAACTTCTTTAAGGTGGACTTTTTATTCATTGGTCTAATATATGTTTTTGTTTTCTTATAGATAATGCAATTTATGATAAAATGTAATACCTTCCATTTTAATCATTATAATTTAACGCTAAAATTGGCATATGAAATTTATAAATTATTTAGATTTTAACCATTATTAACATTAATAATCTGTAAATTATACATACATGAGTATACAAAGATAAATCAAATATATTTTTTTTCTCCATAGGGTCAAACTTACTTTACATAAAGGTGTAGATAATAATAATATTGCTTCATTTATAAATTTGCAGCAAAAATAATAAGCTGAATTAAATCAAAACAATCTTCTATTAAAGCTTTTTTTTCTTTAATTTTATGATTTATCCAATCGAATTTTAAATTAAAATTTTAATATTATATCAGTGCATCTTATGATTGTAAGTCTAAAAAAATGCTAGGATACTTTGTTTTAAATTGGATATCCAAAAGAAAAGGCAATTAATCTAGATCTTATTTATTTAATCATGATAATTAGATATGATAAATCCATAAAACTTGCGTTCTAACGAGAAAAGCTAAAGTACTAGAGAAGGCGACAAATATATCCCGAAAATATACTCTTGTAGAAATTACACAGCCATTTTCTCATGTTTTTAGGCGCCAGGTTGGTATAGCCAGGAGATGCTTAGCCCTACGACATACTAGACCACAATCCTCAGTCATGTCCAAGTCAGTAGCCAACATATCATCCGGGAGTTCCCAATCGAAGCAATGCACCAATTGTGCCACCACAAGCCGAACAATAGTGAGACCCAGTTGCATTCCAGGGCAGCCTCTGCGGCCAGAACCAAATGGGATTAGCTGGAAGTTGCGTCCACGAAGATCAATGTCACTTCCAACAAATCTCTCTGGATAAAACTTCTCTGCATCAGTCCAAACCTTTTGGTCCCTACCTATGGCCCATGCGTTTATGAAGATTCGTGAATTCTTGGGTATGTGATAGCCATTCACTATGCAGTCTTCCATAGATGCATGCGGGAGCAGCAATGGTACCACGGGGTGAAGCCTAAAGCTTTCTTTCACAACCATGTCTAAGTACTTCAATTTCTCCAAGTCTGATTCTTCGACCATCCTCTCCATGCCTACTACATTTTCCAGTTCTTTTTGGACTTCCTTTGTCACCCGTGGATGTCTGATGAGTTCGGACAGTGTCCACTCAATTGCAGTAGCTGAAGTATCCATTGAAGCTGCAAGGATGTCCTGCAAAAATTGTCATAAACAAACATTTTTTAGACCAAAAGGCACAATGGAGTGAATGGACAAGTAAACGTGCACAAAAGAAGAGTACCGATATTATTGCTTTGATATTGTCTCGCTCGACATGGTACTCAACAGTTTCTTCTGATCCAATGAATCCCAGCATGACATCAACGAAGTCCATGATTCTGTTTTCACTTTTGGATTGAACATGCTCATCAATTATCTTCTCAAGGAAGTCGTCAAAGACCTTGGCAATAGTTTTCAGGCGCTTTGTTAGACCCTGAAGATCAAGTCCTTTAATTTGAGGAATGTAATCAGCTAAATTAAAAGCACCAATTGATTGAGTGCCCTGTCGAATTATAGCTTCGAAGTCTTTTTCGTTGAAATCATCATTACTATATTTCTTTCCAAGCACCATTCTACAAGAAATATCAGTAGTAAGAGATGAGACCTTAGTACTAAGATCAACAGCAACTCGAGCAGAAGCAGCCTCTTGAATATACTGAATTAAAAGAAAAAGCTCTTCCTTTCTCATGGAACTGAAAGAATTGATTTTGAGATTACTAAGCAACTCTAGAGTGCACGTCTTACGCATGTTGCGCCAATAGGACCCGTATGGAGAAAAGGACAAGTTCTGCTGATTGTAACCAACATGCTTGGCACCTTCATGAGGCGGCCTGCTAGCAAAAACAAGGTCATATGTCTTAAGGAATAGCTCGGCAGCTTCAGGGGATGAGACAACAATTACAGGCATCAGGCCAAAGCGTAAGTGCATTATGGGGCCATACTTCTGGGCTAACTGTTGAAGATCTTGGTGAGGTATGTTCCCCATCATGAAAAGGTTTCCAAAAATAGGAAGCCCTCTCGGACCGGGAGGTAATCTCTTATTTTTGGCCCTTCTTTTCCATCTCAATGCGTGAAAGAAAAAGATAAGTGCAGCAACTGCAAGAATTGTCCATGACCACTCCATCACCGGCTGCTTCAACAAAGGTTAAAGCAGGGCAGAAGCCTGAGACACGGTCCTTACTTCTGCAACTGGGATACTGATATCATGGGGTGGAGCTTAAAGACAGAAGGGAAAACAAACAGAAGCAAAGTTCAATGACCACTTGCCTCTACTTAATCTAATATTTATCTTATCTAGAACAGTCATAGTACACAAAAAAATTCGAATTAAATGTCGTATAATGAATTAACATTTTGCTTTTTAAATATACAACAAATGATGTCACATTTCTATAATAATTTTTTGGGACAATCACAACATCACATTTGTTCAATTCAGTTTCATATCTGATCATGTCTGAAGCTAGAGTTAGAAAAACAGGAAAAAAAACAACTTCATTTTAAATGTTGCAGAAATGTTAAGTTATTTTTGAGCAGTGATAGACCCTTAATGTCCGAATTCTCTGAATAGGTTTAAGCCGGCGCTGCATATAGGCTTGCATTGAGTCTAGAAAAATAATGTTTTAATATTTTCTCCTTCATCTTATCGCTTTCATCTAGTTGAATTTGATATCGAGTTGGGGATCACAATTTTTTCTTCTGTCAATTTTGTGTCTCCAAGCCAGCTGGTTCCAGCTCAGTGGTATCCTGTAGCTGAGTTATCAATTTTCTCCCTTTGTCTCTTATACTTGTTAGCATCATTGACCTTGAACACTTGATAACAAATTACTTAATTCATAATCTCAGTAGAATTCTCAGCACATCTCCTTTTTGTGCAATTAACTAGCAGTAATTATTCAAATACACAATGGACAAAATGAACCTAAGCGCAATTAGTTGTCGAAGCACGTCGTCTGGGTGCTCCCAATCAAAGCAATGAACAAAGTGTGCCACAACAAGCCGAGCCATAGTGGGACCCAGTTGCTTTCCAGGGCAGCCTTTACAGCCAGAACCGAACGGGATTAGTTGCAAGTTGTGTCCTCGGATGTCAATGTCACTTAATAAATATCTATGGAAAAAGCTTCTGGGCCAATGACCCATGGGATGATGAAGATTCGAAATTCTTGGGTATGTGAAAGCCATTAACTATGTAGTCTGCCAGAGCCCCACGATGGACCAACAACGGTACCTTAAGTTTTCTCTCGCAACCATATCCAAGCAGTCCAATTTCTCTACATCAAATTCTTCCACCATTCTTTGCAGACCCACCACATTTTCCAACTCTTTTTGGACTTTATTCATTACCTGTGGAAGCTTGATGAGTTCGGATAGTGTCCATTCAATTGCAGTTGCTGAGGTGTCCATTGCAGCCACCGCGACAAGGATGTCCTGCAAGGGAATTGTCGGCAAGAAGTACAGTTTCTAGATTCAAGGATACTAATTAGAGAAGAAAAATATAGATTTAATGGTTTTAAATTTCAAGTCCTATTTTTTATCTTTGGGAAAATCAAATATTATTTGTTGAGATGTGGGAGATCAGTACCAAGATTATGGCTTCAATATTGTCTCACTCGACACAGAACTGAGTTTCTTCTGATCCCGTGAATTACGACATAATATCAACAAAGTCCTCGATTTTGTTATCATCTTTAAATTAAAAATGCTTATCAATTATCTTCTCAAAGAATTGATCAAACACCTTGGAAAACACTTTCATGGGCTTTGCTAGGCCTCGAAGATCAAGTGCTTTAATTTGAGGAGTATAACAAGCTAAAATTAAAAGCCGCTCCTAGTTGCATGCCCTGATATCTAATTACAGCTTTGACGACCCTTTCATCAAAATTTGACTCAAATTTAATATCAGATTTATTTAAGATTAGATAGATATTATTTGATGGATAAAAAAATTTACAAAAGAAGAATTCTAAAAAAAAAAAATTTTAATAGATAATTTTATTTACAAAAGAGGAATTCTAAAAAAAAAATTTTTTTTGATAAGCAAATGTGTATGCTTATAAATAAATGAAGTCTCTACGGGTATAAAAAAAATATAACAAAATTGTAAGATTTTATGAGATAAACACCTCATAGGAATACTGAAGATTTACGTCTTATGGATATATTTGATTGAATGTTTGTGAGTAGATTAAAAAAAACTAGAAGAGTTCGCATAAGTATGATGCATGGGTACACATGGTTATATGTTTGTTTGAGTTGAGAATATTTCATAGAATTAAAAGAGATTAAAAGGGTATATAAGTATTAGTTTTAAGTGAAATTGATTTGATTGTATGTTTATAATTCTCCATAACCAGTGGATCTTTTTTTCTATCTGTAGACGTAAGTCGGTTAGGTCAAAATATGTTAAATTATTATTTTTTATGTGATTAATTAATTGTTTAATTTTACTTTCACTGATATTGAATTGGATTAGGGTTTTTAGCCTAACAAAATCATCATCCAAATATCTTCCCAAGCACCATTCTACAAGTTATGTCAATAGTAAGAGATGGGACCTTAACACTAAGATCAATAGCAACACGATCACATGCAACTTCTTAAATGTAGTCAATAAAAAGATAAAGCTTTTCTTTTCTCATGGACTTGAAAGAATTAATTATTTTAAGGTTACTATAGACACTTATTTTTCAAATTTGTTTTAATTGATTCGGTGGGTTTCAGATAAGGATAATAAGAATAATAAAAGCATAATTTCAGTCCTGATAGAAATCTAGGATAAAAGGACTCTTGAAGAATCAGAATAAAAAGGATAAATGGATAAGGGTTTTTTGAAAAAAGGGATTCTTTTTTAAATTTTTTGACTGATCTAGAAGGTTTGGCTAAGCAATTTGAATCTTATATAAATATTTAATCACACACATAGAGGAGGAGAAAAAAAAATGATAAGAAGAAATTATAAAAAAGGTTGATTTCCAAGATTAAGGTAGTTTTTGAGATAAGTTTTCTTAGGGAAATTACTTTAAGTTGCATTTTGGGAGATTGTGAGGAAACAAAAAGATTTTCTTTTGGGGTGTTTTTGTAAAAAATTCTAAAAATTTCAAAATCTGATGGGTTTTTTGGCTTAATTTGAGTTTTTTGGTTGAATTCCTAGTTTTCGCTTAGCCATTTCCAGAATCTAGAGGTCGACCCAGACATCGATAAGTTTTCTAGTAACGTTCAATGAAAAATGATGATAAAAAATCACCTAGAGTGAGAAGCCACAAAGGTCGAGAAAGGAAGAGAAGAAGCGATCTAAAAAAAAAAGACTAAAATCTTGGATTTTATACTACTTGAAAAAGAAGTCGTTTTGGGCTAGAAACAAAGCAGGATTCATTTCTTTCCTTTTGGTCTGACCCGATCTATTCTGCTGATCCAAAAGCCTATTTTTGTCATCGAGTCGATCGAGTTGCTGAGCTCGTGCCATTGACCCAGCCGTCATCATTTCTTTAGCCGAGTCACTTCCCTTTAGTCAAGCCGCGCCAAGATTTTATCCTTTTATTATTTTATTTTTCTTTTTATTTGCTCATTTATCTATTTATTAGTTAAATTGATATTATTTATTCATCTAATTTGTGAATTAACATTTTTTAAATTTCCAATGATTTCTTAAATAACAAAAAAAAAAATTTTTTTAAAGGAAAAAATTGAAAGAATCAACTTTCCTCGATAATAAAAACTTCAAAAAATGTGTTAAAAAATGCTTTTAAGAAAAAAAATTGAAAGCATCAATTTTTAAAAAAAAAAATTTCTCAAAAAAATATATTTCACAAAAAACAATTTTAAAGAAAAGTTGACAGTATCAATTTTCCTTAAAAATAAAAATTTCAAAATAAAATGTTTTAAAAAAAATTAAAAATATCAATTTTTCTTGAAAATAAAAATTTAAAAAAATATTCTTTTGTGGAAAGGTAAAAAATTTTATAAAAAAAAAAAAGTTTTTGAGGAAAGGATGAAGTTATCAATTTTTCAAAAAACAAAAATTTCAAAAAACGTTTTAAGTAAATTGAAAGTATCAATTCTCCCGTAATTATAAGAACTTTAAAAAATGTAAAAAAGAAACATTTTTAAGAAAAAGTTGAAAGTATTAAATTTTCTTAAAAAATAATTTTTTTTTCAAAAAATGTATTTCACAATAAATGTTTTAAGGAAAAGTTGAAAGTATCAATTTTCTTTAGAAAAAAAAATATTTCTTTCAAAAAATGTATTTCATAAGAAATATTTTTAAAGAAAAGTTGAAAGTATCAATTTTCTTTGAAAATAAAATTTTTTAAAAATATTTTTTAAGAAAAAGTTGAAAGTATCAATTTTTCTTAAAGATACAATTTTCAAAAGATTTCTTTTGAAGAAAGGTTGAGAATATCAATTTTTTTTGAAAACAAAATTTTCAAAAAAAAATTTTTTGAAAAAAAGTTGAAAGTATCAATTTTATTCAAATAAAATCATTTGTCTTTTTTTAAAAAAATTAAAATAAGAAAAGAAATCTCAAGAAAAAGTTGAAGTATTAATTTCTCTTTGAATTCTTTTAAATAATTCAATGAAAGAGCCTCTGCAAGAGAATAATAGTTTTCTTGTATATTCTTGAGGTGAGATAATTTTTTGCCAAAAGCATTAGAGTTAATTAAGAGTAATTTTTAATAATTAACTATTTGGTAAGATTTTTAAAGCTTAATGGATAACACAAAATCAAGTTGATGCCATCTTTTAATGGGCATTATGGGAATACTATAACCTTTCTCACACATAACCGTACTCTTGAATCTAATTTTGGTTTCGTAGACATTGAATCTACCTTTTAAAGATACTTGAGTCAAACTTCAAATTTAAAATAAGACAAATTCAATAAGGTGGATAATTACACTTAAATAAAAAAATTGATGACGACTTCTTAAGTCAATATCTAGCTATAGGTTCATAGACATATACATTATGACAATTACTAAGTAACTCTAGAGTGCACATCTTTGATCTTACACATGTTGTGCCAATAAAGACTCGTATGAAGAGAAGGACAAGTTCTGTTGATTGTAAGCTATATATATATTCATCAACTTTAAAAGATGGCCTACTAGCAAAAACAAAGTTGTATGAGGAATAGCTCGACAACTCGAGGGGATGAGGCAACAATTATATGCACCAAGCTAAAGCGCAAGTGCATGATGAGGCCATAATTTTGAGCTAAGGGTTAAAGATCTCGATCAGGTTTGTCCTCTAAAATGAAAAGTCTATGAATAATAAGTTCTCTTAGACTAGGATCTTTCACTAATAAGGTCACTCACAAGTACTTGATTTGGAGAGCAAGATGAGGGAAGAAAGTTTTATTTACTCCTGAAACCTTTCAGCAACCAATGGATAAAAAGCTTTAAAAAATACTATCAAAATCGAAAGTTGTGAAAAAAAGAGTTTGAGACTGAAAGAGATAAGCTAAAGCAAGGGATCCAAAAGCTTCAAGAGAAGAAGGATCAATGGAAAGACAAAGCTTAAAAACAAGAAGTCAAGGTTTGC